AATGTCCTTATCTAAACTTTTCATATACCTGTTGTGACTGCCACATTTGTCAACGTGTATTCATTTTACTAGAACTGGATTGGCATTTTTTCCAGGTCATCAATGTTATTATTTTTTTTTTGTAAGATGAGATAACTAAAAATTAACTCTGTCGATTTACATATGTTCTAAGCATGAATTAAAATCTATTCTTACATTAACTCAGAAGGATAGTGCAGGTAAGATGCCCAAGGAGATAGTATATAAAGTATTAAGTAGAAAGTGTCTCCTATCACATTCTCCCCATTTGTATTCTGCCCATCGAGGAAGAAGGACACCATGCTTCAAGGAATTACCCATTTAACTTCACTACTGTGACAAACATATGGCATTCAAGAGAGCCACACCAGCAGAATTTCTGGGTAAAAGCGAACATATAGAAAAAAGAGAGAGTGAAAAGCGTCCAAAATTTGGAGTCCGAAAAACCTGAGCTCCAATTGTGATTTTCTCTTTTCTAAGTTTTACTATATGTGTGAATTGGAACAAGTTACTTCCGTTTTTTAAGCTTCAGTTTTCCCATTTATAGCAGGAGAAATCATGAGTATATTGCAGATGATTAGGGGTTTAAGTGAGATCCCATGTATGAAGAGCTTTCAGTGTGATTCTGGGTATCAAAGTGCTTGGGGAAAAGTGAGTAGTTGATAAATAATATTTGGTTGTAGTGGAGTTTATGATGGAGGAAGTGGAGGAGGAGGAAGAGGAGGAAGGAAAGGAGAGCGAGTGGAAGAAAATTTCTCTTTAGGGGCTAGAGACAAGAAGGCAGGTTCAGCTCAGATCATGATCCCAGAGTTCTGAGATTGAGCCCCGCATTGGGCTCCCTGCATGGCAGAGAGCCTGTTTCTCCCTCTCCCTCTCCCTCTGCTGTTCCCCCTGCTTGTTCTCTCTCTCTCTCTCTGTTAAATAAATAAACAAAATATTAAAAAAAAAAAAAGAAGGCAGGGCTGTAGGCAGAGACAGGCTCTGCAAATTCAAGGCAGAGCCATTTCAAGGATGCCTTTAAATATGTGCATTAGATATCTGGTCATTTCCTCATATCTCATAACAACTCATTTATAGTCAGGAGCTGAGTTATCAACATTTGGAACTGTATCTGTGAGACCGGGCTCCTGAATATTGCACACAGAAATCTCAGGGGAACTAGAATTTGTGGCAGTACCCACTGCCAAGGAGCTGCACACGCTACCTTTTCAGCAGCTGCTGTTGTGCAGCCTTGGTTGTGAGGAGTCCAGGGAGACTCTTATGATTCCAGTGCCTTCGTGATGCACAACAACTATGATTTGCCCTCTTAATGAGACCTGAAGCATCTCACTGCTACTGTATAGAGACAGGCTGGGGACAGATCAAGAGCTGAGCTTCAAGAAGTGGCTTCTGTGTGTGTACTCCTCTGAGAACGATTTTACAGCTGTTTCTGTGACCGTGACTGTGGTTTGGATGTGGATGTCATAATTTGGAGTCCCTCCTGTCTCATTTTTGAGAGTAGTGATGTTGAAATTCCTCTTCTGTACTTGAACTGTTGTAGCAGTCTATCTAGCTGATGGCAGCACACTTAAGAAGCATCCTGACAGATTCCCTTCCACCTTTTCCTCTCATTCCCACCAAAGCTCCCAGGCATGCAGGGATAGGAGTCTCCTGACTTCTTAACCCAGTTGCAGATACACAGAAGATCCACACTCAATTTGTGGCCATCAGGAAAACCTGATGGGCTTCTTTTGTTTGCAATATCCCTTGTCACAAATTGTCTAGCATCCAGTGAATACAGAACTGGCCGTTGTTCTGGAAGTTCAAAGGGCAAAGAATATTCATGCTGCACAGCTAGGGAACATTTAACAAATTCAGCCCCATCGGGTACTGTCATAAGAAACATTCTTTAGGGGCGCCTGGGTGGCTCAGTTGGTTAAGTGGCTGCCTTTGGCTCAGGTCATGGTCCCAGGGTCCTGGGATTGAGCCCCACGTCGGGCTCCCTGCTCGGCGGGAGGCATGCTTCTCTCTCTCCCACTCCCCCTGCTTGTGTTTCTTCTCTCGCGTTCTCGCTCTCTGTCAAATAAATAAAATAAAATCTTAAAAAAAAAAAAAGAAACATTCTTTAGAGCTGATAATGTCAGCAATTGCCGTGTTTTCTGAGTCCATTCAACCTTTGTTACTCGAAACATGGTTTGTGACCAGAGGCATTGTCATCCCCTGGAGCTTGTTAGAAATGCAGAATCTCAGGGCCCACAGCAGATCTGCTGCATCATGATGCGGTGTGTAGTCAGTAGGATCCCCAGGTTACTTGCGTGCCCATTAAAGTTTGAGAACTTCTATTAAGTTCAACACTTAGGATGTCAGACATTCTATGCATAATCACAGGCATGGTCTTTGCTTTACTGGAACGTACAGTAGAGTAGGAAACAGGCAATTACACTAGAGTTATAATGGTTATAAGAGAGGAAATAATAAGCTATGTGAAAATGCAAAAGAGCCATCGAATCCAGATTTGGTGCTGGGATGATCAGAAATGGGGGTGGGGATAATGCTTTTGGTTTGTTTTTTGGTTTTTGGTTGTTGTTGTTGTTGTTGTTGTTTCCAGAGGAAGTGAGGTCAAAGTTCAGACCTTACCAATAAATGGGAAATATTGAAGAAATATTTGGTAGGCATTTCTAACTGCAGGTAGTCAGTGTGCTCATTCTGCTACTGAGAATGATTCAAATTATGATGAAATGTTATCGGTCTCTGGAAGGGATCGTAATGTGTAAGTGAAAAAAATTTGGAATTACCTGTACTTAAAAGAGATTGAAGTAAAAGATTGAAATCCATTAACAGAGAGTGAATGTATTTGAGACACTGGATACTTTGAAGCTTGTTGGATTTGTTTGTCTTGAATTAGTCAATACTCCTGCTGTTTTTCAGAACACCTTAGTGTTTATGTACGAACCTAATGGATTTCTACAAATATTCTAGAAATGGACACAATTACAGACTTACATGAATACTGAAAAACATCAATTTATCATCATAGGCTGTACAATTTATATATACCATGTAAGCATTTTGACTTTTCAGTAAACTATTACATTTTAATGTAGAGTATGTATGTACAGTCTTACATTAACTTTTACCAGCTGAAATATGGAATTGTAGAAAAGTAAGGAGTATTAGAATTAATGTTGGTATGCCAATTTTTAAAACAAATATAAAGGAGGGCACTTGTGATGAGCACTGGGTGTGGTATGTAAGTGATGAATCACTAAATCCTATGCCTGAAACAAATATTATACTGTATGTTAACTAACTGGAATTTAAATAAAAATTTGGTAGAAAAAATTATTAAATATAAAATGCATTTGTCTATTCTTCTTAAAAATTTCACAAATCTTTTATATAATTTTAGGCACACTTATTTTAAAAAAGTTTAACTCACACAAATATTCACCTAATAATTTAACCTTTTGTGTCTCTAATTTCTTTATTTTCTCTTTTTGTGTATTAATTTCCTTTTATGAAAAATTGTTGAGTAGTATTTGGTACTAATTGGCTTGATTACGTATCATTTTGCATGCATTTTGAAGAAAAAATTTAAAAATAAAAACATTGTAGTTTATTGTTGTGAATATTTAATGAAATTGAATGGGCTCCAATTCTTGAACATTATGGAAAGTGTATTATTTATAAAATATTTCCATTGGACATTTCATCAAAAATAGCTCTGCATCTATTTATCAATGTCTAGTTTGTTAGCAGTACTAAATGATGCAAATATCTAATTTAATCATTGATCATTTCATGTCTCAAAAAAGAAAAAAAGATGAAAGTAGGAGGCTTTTACGGTAGATGAGGCTTAAAGTAAATGACCAGAATTCTGTCGCTCCCCAATGTTAATTAACATTTATACTGAGGTCTTTAAACTCAAAGCTCTGTTCTTTCTATTCTATGCCATGTTATAAAATCTTTTTGATTTAGTTTTTCATACTTAAAGATGAGACTTGTAATCAGGCATTAATCAGTGTTAGAACAGTCATAGAACAGCTTATACTGTAATGAGATTTCTGAGCAGAAAGTAAGTAAACACATGCATTATAAAGTCCTTATAGGATAAAGCCTTATTTCCTAGCCCCGCAAAAGTAGCTTGAGTTTTCATTAGTATTTAAAGTTTGTTCAGATCACTTCAGGTGGCTAGAGGTGTGCTGGTTAAGAGCACCAGCTCTGAATTGTGTTCACATCCAGGCTGGGTGACCTTGAACAAGTTATGCAGTTTTTCTGAAAAATAGGGATAAAATATCAATACCTACCTTGTGGGGTTGTTATAAGGATTTATATAATATATATATTATATGATGTTTATATAATATAAATATATCTAAACATAAATATGTATTGTATATAAATATATAACATATATATAATATATACAACTACATATATGTGTATCTTGGTAGGTTATCGGACCCATATAAGCCTAAATTTCAATGCTTGTTTTTTATACAAATAAAAGTAAACAATATTAACTAAGAGCTAAGTCATGATTCATAAGCATATTTAATCAGATAGCAATAAGCTAGTCTCCCTGTAAGGTAAAATAATTTCTCAACATTTCTTATACAACATATTTTTATAAGGCTATGCGGAATCAATTTACTGCTATGAGCTACAGTAGTAATTGGAAAAAATGTAAAGAATTGCTTAAGGGAAGGAGAGTGTTTTGTCTTTAGATATCTATGACTAGCCAAGTTCATTTAGGTAAGAGTAGTTTTAGAAGGGAAAAAGGAAAAGTTCTTTTCCAAAATCAATGGCTCTCAGATCCTGAATTTTTGATGTACGATATAAAAACCACCACATCACCGAAATGATTGATGCCACATAGCATGGCTGCATTCAGCTCACAGGAGAGATCCTTAACTGTGTCTGTGGTTAGAAGTACTCAGAGGTATGATATACATGAGCAAATGTCATCAACCTCTTCTTTATTATTTTGTCTTCATGTCCAGATTCCTCCAAAGGACCTCAGCCATCTTCAGGTGTAAATGGTAACACGCAGCCCCCTGGCACCGCGGGGCAGCCCCCCGCCTCTGCCATCCCTTCTCCGAGCGCCAGCAAGCCCTGGCGGAGCAAGTCCATGAATGTCAAGCACAGCGCCACCTCCACCATGCTGACCGTGAAGCAGTCCAGCCCAGCCACCTCCCCCACGCCACCTGCAGACAGACTGAAGCCCCCTGTCTCAGAAGGGGTCAAAACAGCCTCCTCGGGACAGAAATCCATGCTTGAAAAATTCAAGCTGGTCAATGCACGGACTGCTTTACGCCCCCCACAGTCTCCCAGTTTGGGGCCCAGTGATGGGGGGAAGGATGACGATGCCTTTTCTGAATCTGGTGAGATGGAAGGTTTTAATAGTGGTCTGAATAGCGGTGGCTCAACCAATAGCAGCCCCAAAGTGTCCCCTAAATTAGCCCCTCCAAAAGCTGGAAGCAAAAATCTCAGCAATAAAAAGTCTTTGCTACAGCCAAAGGATAAAGAGGAAAAGAACAGGGACAAAAATAAAGTTTGCACTGAAAAACCAGTCAAGGATGAGAAGGATCAGGTGACAGAGACGGCTCCGAAAAAGACCTCTAAAATTGCAAGCTTGATCCCCAAGGGTAGCAAGACGGCAGCAGCCAAGAAAGAAAGCCTAATCCCCTCTTCCAGTGGCATTCCAAAACCGGGCTCGAAGGTGCCCACAGCAAAGCAGACCGTTTCACCAGGCAGTGCAGTGAGCAAAGAGTCGGAAAAATTCAGGACTACCAAGGGAAGCCCTTCCCAGTCCTTACCTAAGCCCATGACCACTGAGAAAGCAAGCACATCCAATTGCCCCACTCCGTTGGAAGGAAGGGAAGCCAGCCAAGCCCCTCCCGCTGGCTCCTGTGCTGTGCTGGGGGCGCCCGGCGGGGGGCAGGCCACGGGGAATGGTGCTGTCCAACTCCCCCAGCAGCAGCAACACAGCCACCCCAACACGGCCACGGTGGCTCCGTTCATCTACAGGTAAGATGGCCGCCATGCCTCCACGGTTGTGAACTTCTGCAGGTCTTCCTACTGGACGCGTCACAACGAAGGTTACTAGAGCTGTGTTTTACATCGTCGTTCTGGAACACTCCGTTCTGAAGATAAAGGCCTAGGATTTCTTTTTTTTTTTCTTTTTAAGATTTTTATTTATTTATTTGACAGAGACAGAGCGAGAGCAGGAACACAAGCAGGGGGAGTGGGAGAGGGAGAAGCAGGCTTCCCGCGGAGCAGGGAGCCCAATGTGGGGCTCGATCCCAGGACACTGGGATCATGACCTGAGCCGAAGGCAGACGCTTAACGACTGAGCCACCCAGGCGCCCCCATTTTTTAAGAAAAAAGTATCCAATACGCTCTAGTCCTCTTCTCCCTCCTCTTCCCCTCTTCTGCCCTCTCATCCCTTCTTTGTAAGAACTTGAGGCCTTCAGAGGCTAACTTACTTGTTCTCAGGGGGGAAGTAAAACCCAGACGCCATGACTTTCTCCTGTGTCTGTTACTATTACTGCTTCTACTACTATTTTTATTATTAGTCTTTTAAAATAATTCTCAGTTTTATAGGGTTTACGGATATTTTTGTTTTCACCCTTGGGAGAAAGTATGTCATGACGGTTAAAGGGGCAGGGTCTGGAATCAGACGCATGTGGATTTAACGCCCTGCTCTGGCTCTTACCAGTTGTGTGACTTTGAACAAGTTACTTAACGTCTCTTAGTCTCATTTTCTTCAGTTGTCAAATAGTAATAACAGTACCTAAAAAGTTGAGAAGAATAACAGGGGTAATGCATATGTTTACTATATATTCTGGCACATTGTGTTTGTTAAATGTTGTTTATAAGGCATTGCTTTCCCACCATAAAATTTATATTACTTTCCTGTAGCTAAGCGTAAGTTTCTAGGCCAAAATAAGAATCTACCTAATTTTTATATTTGTGCTTCATTTATTAATTTGTTTTTGCATTATAACTATTTATTTTATAAGGATTAAAATATGCCAATATATGCTATATTTTAAAATATTCATTCTACTATACAGTTATAAAAATAGCACATTTTGCCTAGTGTGTGGTTTGTCTTAATTGATTAGAAGTGTGTCAGTCGCTGCTTTGTCTCCATTTTTATTCACTGTCTTTTCTGTGAGGAGAAGCTTAGGGAGGAATAATGTCTGCCCTTTCAGCTGGTTGGCAGTTCAATAACAGGAAAGAAATTTTCTGAATAGGAAGTAGAACCTGCTATAATTAAGTAAGCGTCAATATTTTATAGCTTAAAAGCATATTAAATTTATTAAATGTATAGGTTTTTTAAGTAAAGAAAATAATTACAAGGATTTGTTTTCCTTCGGTGAAAAATGTAAGTGCTTTTCTGATGCTTTATATACTCAGCAAAGCAAGATTCTAATTACTGCATTTCAGCTCTTTTTTTGTCTGCTTTTCTGCCTTTAGTAGCAGCAATTCATTTAAAACCTTTGTCTTTGGATCAGATGGGAGTCAGCTCTTTCTAACTCCAGAGTCCCTATCTGACAAATGAAAATTTAAGATGTCGAAATCATAATCCACATTCCAAATATGTAAGAAAAAAAATCATAAAAGTTTTAAATAAGCCATACTCAGCCCACTCGTGCATCTGAAATATATTCTGTAGAAGCATCAGTCATTTCAAATCACCACAAATGAATTTCACAGGAAAGTGCAAATCTAAGCAGAAAGACTGTACCTACCACGTTGGCCAGCATCTTCCAGGAAGGAACAACAGACTTGTTTGTTTGTTTGTTTGTTTGTTATAAAATATCCAGTGGATACAAATTTAGTGGTTTCCATTTGAAAGATCGAATTCTTACTATTAAAAAGAGGAAGGAGCACAGCTTACAGGTTCAAGCATGGATCAGCTGTGTGTCCTTGCCAAATTGTCCAACCTCTGAGTTTCTGTTTGCCTTTTTTAAAATGAAGATTATAAAACTGAGATAATATAGCCAAGTAGCTGAGAGTATGGGCTGTGAAGGCTGTTGGTTCTGCCGTTGTTGAGAAACAACATCTTGCGTTGCTGGGAAGATGACCCCAAGAGCCAGTTTGCCTGGGTCGTAATCTTGATAATGTCATTTATTAGCCATGTGACTTTGGGTAAAATATTTAAAGACTCTGAGCCTTGATTTCCTAATCTGTAAAATGGGGATGATAATAGAAGTTGCCTCATAAGGCTATTTTGAAGATTAAGTGAGTTAATATTTATACAGGGCTTGGAACAGTACCTGCCACATGGTGAACAGTCTTCCCCAAATTTCAGCTTATAACCCCAAAAAGGGTGGTGGGTAAGAATATCCACTTTATTTAGGTGTTTTAAAGATTAAATAAGGCAACCCCATGTAAAAACTTTAGCACGGAGCCAGGTTCAGAGTAAATGACTTATTTTGTCAGCAATTAGTTGTATCATTATGAATAATACAAGGTAGTTGGAAATAAACCATCTAATAAGAAAATTTCACATCCTAGTCTATATAGGAGGCAGTAGTTGTTAGGAGTCTTTTATAGATTAAGAATAATTTTATAAAAGATAATGTAAATCTCCTCAAGGTAGAGTAGTCAATATTTAAGCTTTTTAAGTGTCAGTCAAAGATACTTATATCACAGAGTCAAGTCGTTTGGATTATGTGACCTCTGATGTACTTTTGACTCTGCCGGCTCCAACCCCATTTAAGAATTCTTCCTTCACAATGCCTGACAGACTTTCCTGGGGTCGCTAATTATTTGATAAGATAATAGTAATAATTAACTACTTTATAATGTTGTTGAGTAGTTAGTGCAAGTCTGTATGTTACAAGATTTATGTTAATTCTCTCATTTAAACTTTATCATAAACTCATGAGAAAAGAATGTTATCTCCATTTTACAGAGATGAAGAATGGAGATTTCCAATCAGAATAGGAATCATCTCTTAAAGTCGCAGGACTAATAGGGCTTTGCCTTTGAACCCAAATATGCTGGGCGTATAGTATGCCCTTCTTTGCTCATCAGTTCTTTCTGCATGTACAGAAAGAAGAAGTATTGTTACTAGAAAGATTCTGACTGGAAAGATGTGAAGAGTAGATTGTAAAATTCTCAATCAGAACTCATTTATGATGGGAAATGCTTAATTGCTTTTAAGTAGTATAAATTTAAAATACATATATATGTATGTATATGTTTAAACATACATATTTTTGATACTTAAAGATAATTAAATAAATTCTATAAAATGGGAAGATTGACAGCTGATGGTAATATTTTTCCCCTTTTCTCAGCCCACTTCCAGGTCAGTCTAGGTTATTAGTTATTCCTTCCTGGGACTCTAATATATGCTTCATAATACTCTTTCTTACAAATTGAATGTCAGAGTTCTATAAATATAACGTTGAGTTCTGGAAGTTGATGGATTTCATATTAGTCCTACTTCCTATACAATGCAAGGATGTTCCATATTAAGCTTTTGTAACTCATTTATCATTACAATGTGATAAAGGTCGTTTTAAACTTAGTATATCCTTATCCATTTAACGAGTGGAGATAACTGAAATCAAAGGTGAAAATTTTAAGAAAGAGTATTATAACTTAATATCAAAAGTTCCCAATATTTAAACCTATTTGAATGGAATAGGCTGCCTTTGTTAAGTATTAAGGTGACTACCAGAGATAATTAAAAAGTGGTAGAATGACAAGTTGCCATAGATTAGGTAAAGGGAAAGCACCAAATACTTTTTCATTTATGTGCTCATCACTCATTCTGCAAATACTATGTAATAAGAGTTACAAAGATTTTTTTTATTTTTTATTTATTTTCCCCCATTTTTATTATGTTAATCACCACACATTACATCATTCGTTTTTGATGTAGTGTTCCATGATTCATTGTTTGCGTATAACACCCAGTGCTCCATGCAGTATGTGCCCTCTTTAATACCCATCAACAGGTTAACCCATCTCCCCAGCCCCCTCCCCTCTAGAGATTTTTTTTTTAAAAAGCCTCTGCCTTCAGGGAGCTCAGTCTATGGGAGATAATGATAAAATATAATAAAAATAAAAATTCAGTGCTGTTATTGAAGCATATGTAAGAAATAGTATAGAAGAGTCTTCCTAAGTCTTACATGAGGATGGAGTCAGGGAATGTATCCAGAGGAGATAAGACAAGAGACGAGATTTACAGCATGAGTCAGAATTTGTCAATGTTGTGGCATCATCCAAATTTGACATTCTATAATTTTACAATCTAAGCCTTATGGAACAAGTAGTAAGCAAATTATAAAGGGCTGGGCAACAGCTAGGTACTAAAACTACTACAGATGCATGATTATTTGTGTGGGAGATTAAGGAAGAAAATTTGGAAAGAATCCATATTTTGTTCTTCATTTCAGTCACTCTGTCCCCATACATCTTTTTTTTCAGCTAGTCCTATTGGCTCTTTCTCCCAAACATACCCTCAATTGGGCATTTCTCTCCATTTCCACCCTCCCTGTCATGGTCCAAGTCATGTCACCACCAATTCTTACCTAGTTTCCAACGAGTCTTCCAGCTTCCACTTTTGCCCTTTTCCAGTAACATCCTTCACACAACAGGAACTCTAACCTTCTAAAAGTATAATTCATATATGTCATTCCAATTCATGAGACAGTCTATTGAATATCCATTACACTTAAAAAAAAAATGAAACCCAGAGCTGTGAATTGTGTAAGACCGTTGAATCACAGACCTGTACCTCTGAAACAAATAATACATTATATGTTAAAAAAAAAAAAA